GAGATCACCACTCTCCCTCTACTGGGTAACACTACAGGCCAGGGTGACTGTTTTTCTACATGACTCCAGTAGCTGGATCTCTGACGGAGATCTCTGACTCTTCAACTTCTCCTTCTTCATCCAGCTGGGCTAGAATAGATGCACAGAATGATTTTGACCAAACAAACAAACAAACAAACAAATAAAATCCCTCTCTTTATTTTACCAATTCTATAACTGATCAGGTTGTGTTGCAAATATTGTCCTCCTAGGAACTTGAATTAATATTGTACACTAAAATTCTTAGATCAACTTAGAACTTCTATGTGGGTTTTTATTTGTTTGTTTGTTTGTGTGTTTTAATCATTCATTCCAACCATAGGCTGGTTAAGTTTCTTTCTGAGATGCGCTAAAATTCTTTTTGTTGTAATTAATTAACTGATACGGTATTTTATTAATGACTAGGTATGTGTTCTATGAACAACTTTTTCATGTATGCATAGGGGTGATGCAAAGCAGAGATAAAGCAGAATTCACATGGCTTGTAATTGTCAATATATTATAAAACAGTAGCAAGACCAGAGGCTTATATATGGTCTGTTTTAAAGACTCTTGATGATAGCATCACAGGTTTATTTTCTGAATTACACTGCAGACTTTCTCAAGGCAAACTCAAAGCTCTTGCAGAAGAGTTCTTTGTGCACAACTGAGAGTTTGATTTAAATGCCATCATTTTGGAAATTAAAATAACCAACTTCTTATTATCAGTAGTAAATGGCTATTATTATTATTATTATTATTATTATTATTATTATTATTATTAGCTACACCAATATGAACCAAGTATTTGTTGGATTACGGTACTCCCATTTGGAGAGCTTTCCAAAAATCAGGTTAGGGTGTACTTCTAATTTATTTACTTCTATACAAGACATAAGTAAGGATGGTTTTGTTGTTGTACTTACTATTGAAATCTATAACATAGAAGATATGACTGGGACTAAATTAGATACTGCAAACAAAAAAATACAAAGCCTGATTTTAATCTATTAGCAATTTTACTCACGTTTAATAAAGAAGAAGGACCTTCTGTTTACAGCTGAGTTTCTCAAGCTGTCTCTCAACATCAAATTTAGGGAGATATGTAAGCAAAACTGGGTTGTCTGCATCTTTTTGGGGGTTTTGTTTGTTTGTTGCATGTATACTACGGAGAAAACCCCCCATGTCTCCCCACGTGTTTTTTACTGCAAACAGCTATAGCAAGGACTCACAGCTGGAAGTATGTCCTTTCAAAAATCTGAAGATCTAGCTTATTCTCCAAAGAGCTTCTACTGCCGTTTTCACTAACCACTCAATGAGTAAAAAGAAAAGGGGGAGGCAAGGGGATGTTGATAGTTCCTACTTTGCACTGAAAATCAGTATTTGGAACTCTATACAGATAATGTATAAATTAATTTCCAAAATGGATTGTTCTGGGAAAACAGATTTTATTCGAAAAATTTAACCAGAAAAAGTGACCCAAATATTTTGTCAGTTCATATCCATGACCATTACTAGAGAAACTAACACAGAAATTATCCCATTGTATTTATTTTAAACACAAAAAAGTAGACAAGACAGTCCACATATTTAAGATTTTTATTGTCAGCTAAATACTTCACATTTTACTACACGCAGCTGGATAAAAACATTTTTTCTTGATGCATTATCACAAACTCAGAAGTCACTTCAGTGTCTTAAAATATATTTGGAGATTGGCAGAGTCAAGGAAGGCAGGAATATTTGTTTTGAAATTGTTGCAATATTGTTAGAAGGGAGAGGAAAGATCGCAACAGTAAGAAGGAGCAATACTAATTTATAATTTTAGGATATATCTACATCTTGAAATACAAAACACTGAAGCAAATCGTGGAGCAATGTATTTATGCAGAATATTACAGCAAAAGTGCTTTACCTTTTGTGCTATTGCAAATATTGCTGTTTCCCAGCCTGAGTCAGATTTCATTAAGCCAGATGAAATGTTTCTCAGGTTTGTCAACCTTAACCTTGTCCTGAGGTTCACATGGGCACGGCAAATGTGCCCATTTTAAATTAAATTCGCTTTAATTTACAAGACAAATTTAATATATTTCTCTTTTGCTGGACCTGTTATTTCTGCTGACCTTTATCACCTGAATTTTTTTCTATAACAGCTGATTCTCCAGACAAAAATGAATGTTTAAAATGGGCTGCACAGCTCCACATGAAAAAAAAATACTAGGCAAAGTTGTCTGATTAATCATTTGCTTACGGTAAAAGATTCTGCTGCCTTTTGTATTTTTTCCAATTGTTATTTATTTATTTATTTATTTATTTAATATTCAAGTTACCTCAGAAAAGTGGAAGCCAAATTCCAATAGCTGTTATTCAGCTCTAAACTAGGGTAAGAAGACTTGGTCTACATTGATTTATAAAACATAATAAAAATCAGTACATTTTCTCTGCTTTTATTTACATTAGGCAACTTGAAGTACAGTAAATACATAATGCAGATTTTTTTTATGCGTGGGTGCTATGCAAACGTTCTGGAAGTCAACTCTTACAGAATGCATTATTTAAAAAGACATTCCATTAACGTACCTTCTACTGACTTTCTCTTGGTTTATTTTTTTCTCTTTATGGAGGATGGATTCAGAAATCTGTAAAGGCTTGTCACTGCTAGCTGAGTTCTTTCCTGCCTCCTGCGATGTCAGTATGTTGCTTTGAGTCATTAGGTAAAAATTTTCATTATTGTTTACAGTAATGTAGAAGAAAACAAACTCAATCTCAGAGACATGGCTTACACAGCTTACATCTCTAACAAGACTTTTTGATTTATTAATATTATTAAATAATCACAAAGTGAAGTTCTTGTGCAGAAATGGCCACAGTCACTTCCATCTTAATTGAATTTCTACAGCTTTTCAAGTTAATGACAAGCCTGCAGGGGTAGAAGGGAAGTCATCAGTTCTGCTTTTCCTGTTATTTTCTATTCAGTGTGAAAGAGAATGCATTTAAAATCATTGTGGAAACTCACATTTCTGGTTAATGTGCCATATTGTTCCCATCTCCTTCGACCACCAGTGCAAACCTTACATATTTAGGAAAGAGGTGACAATACTTAGAAGATCAAAACTTTCAATTCAGCCAAATGTAACAACTCAGAAGTATATAGTCAAATTACAGAGAGACATTCTTCTGTCAGTCTTCTATTGGAGCATAGCTACACATCCAAGTAATAGAAGAAAGGCATTTAAATAAATACATGTTGTTGCAAATACTGTGATGCTCATTACTGCAGCTGCAAGAGAAAACGTGGAAGACATTTGCAGTGATTTTTCAATAGTAAGAAAAGCACTGTATCCAGCTTTTTCACTGTTTGCTTTACTTTTCACAAGATGGTTTGAGTCAATTCCTAGCACTCAATTATAATCCTCGGTTTCTTCAAAACAAAATTTCTGTCACTGGTCCTGTTGGAATGGAAATGTTGAGACCATGTGCTCGTTTTCACACACTTCTGCTACTGGAATGAGACTCCACGCTCTTAAAAAATACTAAAACCCCTGGAATGACAATCTATTTCTCTGGGTATTTCTCAGTTTATCTTAAAGTCACCCTAGGCAGATGACAAACTGACAGACTGAAACATGTTTGTCTGGGTGATTTAGTCATGTTATGAGTTAGTAATGTTAGTTTGGGACTTTCTGAGGGAGAGAGAGACACCACAGTTTCTGAACTGTCTTTTAAAGAGTTTTTTTTTTTTTTTTTTTTTTTTTTCCCCAATATTTCCTCTCCATTTCATTCACCGCTACGTTGTACTGCTAACCTTGATGGTTCAGTAGCAAAACTAAGCACTACAGTTCAAAACCCTCCTCTTCCACAGAAAGCAAGAGACCAGCGTCAGCTCACTTGGGCGCTTAACAGGACAGGACAGGATGGGACAGGACAGGATAGGGCGGAGGAGGAAAGGAAAGAGGAGAAGAAGAGGAGAGGAAGAGTTCAGTTGGTAGACATCTTCAAAGATCATCTTATTATATCCTCTCATTAGGAAAAAAGTTCCCACTTCAGATCCTTCGGATCCTCCCAGGAATAGAAATCACTTCTTTTAAAAAGCAATACAGCTTAAAGTGCATTCATATGACAAAAATAAATAAATAAAATTAAAAACAAACAAACAAACAGAACAGCCCCGATAAAATAGAAATGTTGAAAATGCAGCTAAAAGAATTTTCCATTCTTCAGAGAACAATATACATCAGGCCTTGAACGCCTGGTTAAAGGCCTTTAAATCAACAGTGTCAGTGACTACCTTCATTCCTGAGCATAGTTATAGGGTTTGGCTGGACTTAATATTTAGTTCTGTGTCAAATTGTAAAATAGTACTTCAGCCAGCTGTATTTGCTATGAGAGCACAGGGATACTGTGAGAATGAAGGGAAAGAGTTTGCAAGAGCTGCTCCAGAAGTAATGCCTCCTATTTTATTGTGTTGTCTCGCTATGTCAGAGGCAGATGGTGGTGGTATGGCAGAAAAGGTTGAACCTTCCTACCAACAACCCATTACGTTTTTTTGCTGTGTGATAGGGGGTAGCAGAGGGGCAGTCTAACTAAGTGGTGTCTGACACAGAAGTGCATATGAAGCAAAGATGTAGAAATGAATTCCTTTGCGCAGAAACAATTGCACTGATATTCATCAAATTCATCAATGTTTGTTGAATATTTATGGAAACCAAACAGTGGATGCAAGCACAGTGAGATGACGAAGCATGCATTTCATCGGTGGTGACAGTGACAGTCACCACCACTGGTGCAGATTTTTACGAGCAAGACATGCAGGCTCTTGTTCATCACTGGCAGAAATGCAAAGCTAATGGTGGTGGCTATTGTGAAAAACAGTGTTTTGTGGATGAGAATTTGCTTTATCAAACAATTTTATTATGGTCTTTGTATCTGTTATATTTTTCATGGAAATAAACAGGATGCATAATTTTTTAAGTGACCTGCATATATGTTACACTCTGGGAAAGGTCTTACTAACTGCCTCTTAGTAAATTGTTGAAATTCCAGTGCTGGCTTCTATTGCTCAGTTCTGTGGGCATTATAAACTACAGGCCTTAGCTCAACAAGCCAACTAACTTGGCACAAATATTAATGCAAAAGCAGGGACCCCTAAAAAGTAGGAGAGAAAGACTTAATCTATATATCATAACAAAGATACCAGGAACAATTTGTGATGCACTGGCAGAGCTCTGCAATGCTGTTGAATCTGTAGCATGCTGGAGTGTGTATGAACAGTTGGAGGAGACAACTACTGTGGCAAATGCAATCCATGCTGTGGAATGAATAAAGAAGGTTAGACATCATAGACTTCTTCCATGGCATGATTGATTTCTCCATGAAGTTGGTGGAAAGTATTGCGCCTCAGGATCTCCCAGCCACTCTGAGAATTAGTCCTAGATGTGCCTCGTGACAATGATGGAATGGACATGTCCTTCTTGTACAGGATGTTCGTATCAATATCCAGCTTTTCCAGACTTTTGTCACAGTTATCCCTATCATGACCCTTAAATGCTTCTGTGAATCGCATCATCTTGTGTTTGTTGGGATCAATTCTGTCTTCTATTCTGTGAGAGGATTTAAAAAAAAAAAAAAAAAAAAAAAAAAAAAATAAAAAACTAAATGAAAGAGAATTTTGCCAGTTTAATCAACAAAATAAATGAACAGACCACTCCCAGATACATGCTTAAAGACTCAGTCATTCCAGAAACACCTATGCAGAAACAGGAAACTGATTAATAATTCTTTTGGTTTTCTTCCATCTCTAACATATGATCTCATAAAAGTAAGCTCACCAACTCAGCAGCTAGCACAATCATCTCCTTTCTAGGCTTTCATTCCTGACACTGACTTCAGCCCATAGTTTTTTCTCCCTGGCCATGACTTGCCTTTTCTGATTTGTCAGCTGTAAATGACTGGCAATTCCACACCATTGAACTCCAGCTCCAGATCCTTTTTATACCCACATATACTCATCTATTTCCTTCCTTGCTGTCTCTCCTCCTTAAATATTCCATGGTTGCAAGTGTCAGGATGTGTCATTTATCTTTTGCTGAACTTTGATTTACCTTGTCCACTTTCATCAACCCTTCTCTGCTTCACTTAAGAAATGACTTTGGAAATATCGTCCCATACTATATATGACAAACATACATGTAATTTGAAAGAACTTCTCACATGCTCCCAAAGTAATGCCTCCCATTTGTTTCAATGGAAACAATAACAAAGAGCACAATGACACTATTTGATACAACAAATTCTAGCTATAAAACACTATTTTTCAAAATAGCCACCACTGTTGGCAATTTTCACCAGTGATGAACAAAAGTCTGCACGCTGTGCTCATAAAAATCTACACCAGCAGAGATGACCCACTGTTTCACAGCGTCTACAATGGTGTAATTGCTGAAATGTGCCATCCACCATCTCACTGTGCTTACATCCACTGTTTAGTCTCAATAAGTGTTCAGCAAGTATCAGTGAATGTCAGTATGTGCAATTATTTCCACGTGGAGGAATTCAACGGCACACCTCTGCTTCCTATGCACTTCCATGTCAGATGTCATTTTGCCAGACTGCCTCTCTGCCATCTGTCACACAGCAACAAAATGTTAACAGAATATTAGTGGGAACCAACATTTGCCTCTGACACTGTAAGAGAACATTAAAAAAAAAAAAAAAAAAAAAAAAGAGAGAGGCATTACTTTCGGAGCATCTCTCACAGTTCACATCAACACTGTTTTTCCTTTGTATCCAATGAAGAATTTCTGCTGGGATATTGCTTTTGCGAAGTTACATTTTACACGTTGGTCTGAAATCCTTGTTCCTTGATAACACTTTAGATCTGTTTGTTCTAACTGGTAAACATGAAAATCTGCAAGGCTCACTTCTCCCTAAAACCAAGCAGAGTCCTGTTTCATACAGCCACCACCATCCCTTCTGGTTTTATCAGCAAAAAATAAAGCAGTGAGAAAGAGCATATGCCCAAATATGGTTTATACTTTTCTCACACCAGTAGAAATGCCGATTAATTTTAGGAATACTTTGTTAACGAGACTACAGACAGTTTGTTATTTCAGGGACTTAAAAGAAAATCTCAGATCCAAGACTTTGTCACTAGAAACAATCCTTGCGTATTATAAAATATAGTTATTATATTTACACCAAAAAGAAATTATCTTTAATTATTCCTGTCCTATTTTGAATCATCTGAAGCACAGTTCATTACTGCTGAACATCTCACTGATTGCTTTTGCCTCTGCTATTTCAAGCATCAAGTGCTCAGTCAACCAAGCACAGCACTGAAGTTTTATCATCATTATAAGGTGTCTGAAAAAAATATAACTATGCTTTATAACCATGCAATTTCTAGGATGTTTCTTCTGGAAATAATGGAAAAGAAAGCATCAACTGATGAGAAGAATTCAATCGCAGAACTTTTTGAGCAGAACAGTGTTTTTCACTCATAAACATAAAGCAAACTAGGGTCTTTATTCTAGAAGGGACTGCAAACTCTCCTCTCTAGGCCATTAGAATGACTCTGATCCATGCATTTGGAAGTCCCTTCTGGGATCTTTATGTGCACTGGAAGAGAACTCACCTGAGATACCATCGGTCCCCCAGCCCGTACTCCCGCCCACAGATCCCAGAGCGAGGCCAGAGACACCGTGGCAGTTTTCGTTCCAGCATGACAGTGGTAGCAACAATCTTCACCATTAAAACAAAAATAAATAAATAAATAAGACAAAGGACTGGGTTGAGTTAGGAAAAAAAAATAAATCACTCTCTTTTCAAAATTACCAGTCTCACAAGTACTCATCAGCTCCATACATAATGAAAGAAAAACACGGAGCCAATATTCTTTGTTACAGGGCAAGTCACAATTTTAGTTCCAACTGTGCTATGATTGCCAATGGTGCTCTTCAAAAAAAATGTTAAACTTGTTTCCTTCTATGCCTGATGAACACGACTAGAATAATTAATTTATAAGATAAATAAGAGGACAACATTTACATCAGCATTAACAATTTTCAGAACTCAACGATCTGTATGAATACATCAAAAGGCCCGAGTCTTTTCAGGAAGTGAGTCGGGCCAACTTCTCTTAATGGATCCAAAGACATTACCCACCAACTTCTAACCATTAGCTTTCATTGTATCTTCCTCCCAGACAATCTCTGTAATTATTATTTAACTCTCAATTACACAAGAATGTGATTTTTAATAAAGAGGCAACTTTAATTCTATTTAAAAAGAAATTCCGCACTTAGTGAAGAAACTTAGTGAAGGGGGACACAGTATGGACAAGAAAGGTTGAATGGGCTTTTCCCTCTGCTGTTCAAAATAGGGTAATATTGTTGGCATACAGGGTAATATATTGGTATAGTAAAATTACTACACCAAAGATGTAAGGGAAGGTAGTTTCACATGGGAAGATCTACAGGAAAGTAGTCTATAGAAAATCATACCGATAAAACAACACTTGGAAGCTGATGCACAGAATCAGTAAAGCAGAATTAAAGGGCTTATTGAACCATGAGAAGCCCATGAGCAAAGTGAGGGTCTGGGAAAGACTTTATAGTGCAGAGAAAGTAAAATAAGTAACTGAATTGGGTAACATATTTTTCCTGGACAAATTTTCCTTACTTTTATTCAAAGAGAACACCCTACTCAGATTACCTGGGCTCTCCAGAGTTCATCTCGTTCATGAGCCACTCTCCAGTGGGTGTCACCCATCATGGCAATTAGCAAATTGAGCATAAGGAGGGTGGCAATGATGGCAAAGGCAAAGTATACCACACTGTACATAAAAGGCAGGTCTACATCATAGTTTGCAGGGCCATCAATGATAGTGAGAAACAGCTCAAAGGTGGTGAACAAGGACATGGGATAGTTGTAGAACTGCCCGAGGTTTTCAGGGTTCTCTGTCTGGAAGATGATGTAAAAAGCTAAAGGAGAACAATGGGGAAAAATAAAAGATATAGTTTAAAAATGGGAATCATAATCCAAGAGCAACAACAGAGTCTTATTAAGTGAAGCTGACAATACAAGCTAGTCTGGGAAGGAGTTACATGTAGGAAGTCTGCTCCTAAAGTAATGCTTCCCATTTTATTATATTGGTCCACAATGTCAGAAGCAGCACCATGCTGGTGGTACGGTGGCAGATGCTTAACCTTCCCAACAATGTTCCACCACAAAGGCAGTCTGATAAAGTGGCACCTGACAAAGAATATATGAATATGAAAGAATATGAATCAAAGGCGTGTCACTGAATTCCTCCATTTAGAAAAAATGGCGCCTATTGACTGTCATCAAAATTGTCTACAAATGGAAATTTTTTCTTATTCGTGGAAAGAATAAAGCTAAATGTGTCACTTTTCAAATACAAACACCATAAATACAATATGCTTTTAAATTTTGACTTAGATATACATAGATTTATCTGGATTGTCCTAATTTCAATTACCCTGGAAGGAGCAAGAGTTGAAAACCAAGCTAATCAGAACCAGTCCATAAATCAGTCCAAAGAAAGAGTCTATATTCAAAGAAATAGAAAATGCACAGTATCACTACTTTTGCCAACTTTTATTCAGAGTATGACATGAGAGTAATCTGAAACCCAAAGCACTTAATTCATATCAAAGGAGTTGGCAAAGTAATGTAACACCATTTTCCTTTTCTAGACTTACCTGATGCAAAGCCTAGTATCACCACAGCCATGAGCCAGCAAAAGCGCATAAGATCTCCAAATATCATCTGCAGAGCAAAGACAGAGCCACCATAAGACCCAACTGTACCACCAAGCCACCATGCAACCCTTGTAAATCATTTCCAGATTATAACATCAAAAGTGGATGAGAGGAAGCTTCTGCATGAAAGAGAGAATATGAAAGTCCCAAACCCTTCATTCAGACAGGAACTTGTCCATTTGCCACTAATGCAAGTCCAGAGGGAGAAAAAGTATTCTTTCAATTCTCCCTGTGTGCAAAGAGGTGTCACAACATGTGCAACAATCCCTTTTTTTTTTTTTTTTCTTATACCTTCTGGATCATGATGGTGAAGGGCCCAAGCATCTGGAAGCCTCGTGCAAAGTACATGACATTGCACCATCCTAGTACCAGGGCAAAGGACATGGGCACCACCTCACCAGTAGTGCTGGTAAGACGCATCACCATGGTTACCAGAATCATGCAAGCATATGTGATACTGCAAAGGAAGAAGAGACAGTAAAAAAATGTTCAGTAAAGAGATCTTACCCTTACTTTTTCTTTTCTTGACAAAAATTTCAAGACAGGCACATACAGCCACCAGCTCATAGGCAGAGACCAATCAGCATGCTCAGTTCTAGCTGTCCATTCGCCTGGCTTCTTATACACCACTTGGGCCAACAAGAGAAAGAAATCAACAATAGGAATGCTCTAAGGCAGGCATGTCCAGCTCGCAGCCCACGGGCCGGATAGAGCCCAAGACAGCTAGTAATTCAACCCCACAAGATCATAAACTTTTAACATTATGATTTGATTTTTAGCACTATTTGTCATCAGCTGATTACAAATAGTTTGAGGGCAGATTGTCTAGGCTACAACAGTACACTGTGGAGGGGAGGGAACAGTGCAGTGCCAACTCTGCCACTTGCACCCACTCAGACACATTAAAACCTGCGTGTGTTGCACGTTACATGTACTTGTACCAGTTGATGAGAAAACACAGTGATTACTGATAATAACATTTCAACTCACCTACAGTGTATGTGAGGACTTGTGCTTTTTGTTATTAAGTAGGCATGTAAGTTTTCTTATTTAATTATTAAACTCCAACTTGTGTTATTTCTTAGTATAATTTAATAAGTTTACAAATTCACTGTGGAAGAAATATCCAGAATGCTCATGTAGTGCTGAGAACTTTTTTTTTTTTTAAATTTTGACTATTTCAAAAAGTTCACAAAAGTATAAAATAATTTACAATACATTTTAAACTAGTTTTGCGATATGCACTTGATAAGTGTTTCTGCTATCCTGTTTCTATTTTGTTACTTATATACATTAACTCTGCTATATATTTTGTACGTGGCCCAAGACAATTCTTTACTCAGTGTGGCCAAGGCAAGCCACGGTTGGACAACTGTGCTCTAAGGGAACAGAAGAGGTGACTCATCTAGAAAAACACAGGGTTGGATGGGAGGGGGAAGTTGCAGGAGGAAATGAGAGATCATGTATTTATTAAACTTAAAAAGTGGTGTACTTACACAATTATGTGGAAAGGTCCTCCCAGGATGGTTTGTCCAAAGTATTTCGCTGCTCCAACTCTAAGAATATCTGGGATCTAAGAATGATATCCTATTGACTTCAGGATTCCATTATTAAACTTAAGGTAACCACTAATATCAACAGAGTCTTGGGGTCAATTGTATCTGCTCTGTGTGCTGCTTCACAGTTTGATTATAATTTTACTTTAAAAACAGAACGAATGAAGCAGGCAGATTGAGAAATTTTGATGAGGCAGAGATTCTGCAACACAGAGCTATGATCCTGAAGTTAGTGTAGAATACTTTGAAGAGACTAGACAAATAGCTGAGAAAAGACAAAAAAAGAACTCAGAGGGGCTTGTTATGTCATCCTCTCTTTGCTAGCTGTAGCAGAGCCCCAGAGTCCTGACCGAAAATAGAATAGGATGAAACACCTGTTCTTGTGAAACATATATGAGGAGAGATAAATCTGTTCTTTTTCTTTTCTCTCTCTCTCTCTTTTTTTTTTTTATGTTTTTTATTTTTTTTTATGGGGTTTGAAAACTCAATCTTACTACAGTTATTACCTTTGGAACCAGCATTTGAGTTTTCTCTATATAAAAATTTTGATCTTCGACTTCATGTTACAATGATACCGTATGTGTGTACATGTTTAGTTTAAAAAACTTCAGCTCTGATCTAATTTTAAAATTAAAATTCTAAAATTCATTATCAGGAAATCACCTAGACACATCTACTGCAGAACTTTGGTTGTGAACACTCCTTTTATAGGCCCACATTGTTGCTGCTCTCCAATTAAACATAAACTTTCCTGTATAAGCACAGGATTCATTTTACCCATCTCCCACATCAGTATAGAATGTCTCTTATAATCTCATGTAATAGTTGGGTTCGGTTGGAACCACAGATGATGCTAATGGGAAATCTAGCACTACCCTACAGATAGTATTTGATAGTGATCAGCCCATCTAATTGATTCTTCAGTACCTGGAGTTTTACTAGTAAGCTGTCAAAGCGTCTGTTTCATCCAATAAATACTGTTGACAGTGTCAACTGCAATAGATGTATACTGAAACATTTAGACTCAGCAGATAACCCTTACTGAGTTATGAGCACAAACTCATTTTTATGCACAAAATAAAATCATGTCTTGATTCAGTTCAAAACTCAATAGCTCACTGTTTCTCTTACCTCAAGGATCAAAATTACTACAGCTCCAATAACTGTGATCAGCTCCCCCACCAGCCTCAACTCATCCTCATATGTTACATAAGATTCCTGAAAGGAGAAAAAGGAATGAAAAGAAATTAAAACAGAGAATGGGGGAAAAGAAGGCCCACTGTTACTGTAGCAAACAGGAATAGACGTGACAAGGCCACAGGAACTATCCCAGCCCAAGCAACAGAGAACAGATCTTGCTTAGTGTTCCTCACTTGATGAAGGTCAGCTGATGGGGAAAGGATGACAGCTGTGAAAACTGGAGAATAGGAGACACTTGGACTTTCCAGATAAGTAGGTGAGATAGAAATTGCCCAAGTGCTGCCTGTGGAACTCTCATTCCTACTGACACAGTACCTGCAGCATTTTCTGGACATAGACTGTATTGTCTCTACTGCTTGTCTTATTGCCTGTTCGAGGTTTCAGTGGCCGGTAGACACAGCACATAGTGAAGCAGACCATGTAGAGTACATAGAATAAAGCCAGGAAGCAGAAATAGGGCCGTCCATACATATTCCACTTCAGGCTCACCAGCTCCTTCACAGGTGTTAAATCTAAGATCTGGCGTGCCTGAGAAAGATAGAGAGAAGGAATTATTTACTGTGAGGGAATTTGTTTATAAGCATCATTGACACTGTTTCCCTGGAAAATGTTAACAAACTGCTCTCACATTATTCAGCATTAGGAAGACAATTTGGTTTTGAAAAATTAGAATGATTTTGGGTTTGCTCAGTTTGCTAGTAGGGCCTTGGAAAAAGAAAACATGTACATAGAGAACAGCTTTTGTGTACCAGTGGCATACACTGGAAAAGTATATTAGACACCGTTGAAGACATGTTTTCTGTCTCTGCAGCCTGGATCCATATGAATATTTGATACAGTCCAAAGGGCTTAATTTAGAAAAAGTTTACCAAATCTGTGAACACATGTAATAATATTTCAATTCATGAACTTTTTTATTGTAACTGGAAAATTCTTTGAAGAATATTTTATGTTAAGTGAGAAAGTAAGATGTAGAGCAGACAAATGCAATCCTCTGTTTGAAATATACGTCATTGTTAGAATATGCAATTATATTTTCAGTTTCTAAGCAATATTGTGGAATTTTTTCTTAGATTTTTTTTTTCTCCAAATCGGAGTTTTTCGTTTTTATGTTTAAATTAATACTAGTTTCAACTGCTATTTCTATCAATGTCAGTGCAATTGTGGAAGCGTTATCTTTAGGAAACAGATCAAAACGTCCACAACATCATTTGCTCTTCTTAAAAAACTGATATTACCTAGGTAACTAAGAGGACTTTGCAAAGATTTTGAAAGTTCTTTTACTTCTGTCTAAATGCTGATTCTTAATGTCCCGCATTTTCAAGTTTTCATTAAGCTATGATGATAAAAACTACAGTACACTCCCAATAAGGCATACTGTTAAAGTAAACGAACAAACAAAGCTCTTTCAACTTAATTCCTCGGGATTATTTAGATTGTATTCAAGGCCTTGACCTTTTATTTTAATGTGACTGTGGTACAGCTTAAGCATATCTAAAAGACCACATATTTCCAGGAATAAACAGAACCTTCAATGAGCATCTTGCACGATAGAAAAAACAGCACTACTGAATACACTGGGGTTATTTTTCTGTCAAAGATCTGCACGTATTCTTACAAGCTGTGCAGATGAGAATTTCTAGACAGAGAAAAAGCTTCATCAAAAAGGTTAAGAGTATAGTTTTAGAAGTGACAAAGAGGCTTTATAAAATGCTACAGCTGTAGAATTACGAGCATTGGAGGGAGAGAGAAATCTTCTCTCATCATTCATTTCAATTTACAAAATTAACAGGAATAATCCAGAAATTTTCTTAACTGTCTTCATGGCTGCTGTGGTTGATTTACACATGTGCACATAAAGAGCAAAGAAAATATAGGAAGATGTTCTGAAAAAAAATTCAACATTTTTTCTCTGTTGAGCATCACTGATCTAAAAAAAAAAAAAAAAAAGAAAAGAAAAAAAAACAATACTGAAAAGAATAAATAAAACGGGTGATGCACAACACAATTGCTCACCAACAGCTAACTGATATCTGAGCAACAGTATCCCACCTTAGTCAACTTGCTCCAAACTTCATTGTTGAGCTTGAGGTTGTATTGTATGAAATATCCTTTTGGTCATATTAGATCCAGCTTCTTGTGCACTCCTTGCTGGAATCAGGTGTACCCTCAGCAAGTTTGTTGATGACACCAACCTGAGTGGTGCAGTTGACACAATAGAAGAAAGGAGGGAACACCATCCAGGGAGACCTGGACAGGCTCAAAATTGGGCACACAAGCATCTAATGAGGCATAACAAGGCCAAGTGCAAGGTGTTGCACTTGGGACAAGGCAATCCTGGACTTGGAAAAGAATTCCTTGAGAGCAGATCAGTGGAGAAGGATTTGGGGGTCTGGTGGATGAAAAGCTGGGCATGAGCCAGCAGTTTGCTCTTACAGCTCAGAAGGCCAACAGTATCCTGGGCTGCATCAAAAGAAGGGTGGCCAGCAGGGAGAAGGAGGTGATTGTCCTCCTTTACTCTGCTTTTGTAAGGCCCCATCTGAAGTACTGTGTCCGAGTCTGGGGCCCCCAGTACAGGAAGGATGTGAAGCTGTCAGAGCAGGGCCACAAAGACAATCAAAGGGCTGGAGCACCTCTCCTATTAAGAAAGGTTGAAGGAGTTGCTCTGATGTAGCTTGGAGAAGAGAAGGCTCTGGGGAGACCCCATTGTGGTCTTCCAGTACTAGAAGGGAGCGTACAGGCAGGATGGGGAGTGACTTTTTACATGGTCTGATAGTGATAGCACAAAGGGGAATGGCTTTAAACTGAAAGAGGGAAATTAAAGTTAGATGTTAGGGGGAAAAGTCGCTACCCAGAGGGTAGTGAGGAACTTGAACAGATTGCCCGGAGATGTTGTGGATGCCCCATGTTTTGGAGGCATTCCAAGCCAGGTTGGCTGGGATCCTTGGTAGCCACAACAGGAAGCTTGGAACTAGATCGTCTTTAACATACTCTCAACCTAAGCCATTCTGTAACTGTGATACAGGGTAATGTGAGAAGTAGAAATTGATTTAGTACAAGAATTGCTCAGGAACAGCGGGAAATTTGTGTTATTAACATTGTTACACTAAATCCAAAACAGCAGCAATACCAGTTTGTCATGGTTCAGCCTAGTTAAGTGACCATGAATTCTGTGACCATGAAGGGCGAAGGGACTAGCTAGATTGGACAGGACCATCTTGATTATTAGATCATCAAGTATTGACCAAGCAGGTGGCTTCTGCCAAATGCTTCTCCTAGTGCCTAAATGTTCCACCACCCGTTGCCTTCAACATAGTTTTAACAGCCCATTTTATCGTTCAATTTTACCAGAAGCTGATGCATGGCAGGGAATATGATAAATCCATTTGGTGCCATGATCTTATGGGCTCGAGTGCACTCTCAGCAAGTTTGACAATGACACCAAGCTGAGTGGTGTGGTTGACACATTAGGAGAAAGTGACACCATCCAGAGGGACCTCAACAAACTCAAAAGATGAGCCCAGTGAATCTAAGGGAGCTGGGCTTGTTGAGCCTGGAGAAGAGAAGGCTGCAAGGACACCTCATTGCAGCCTTCCAGTATTTAAAAGGGGGTTATAAACAGCAGGAGAATCAACTTTTTACAAAGGTAGATAGTGACAGGACAAGGGGGAATGGTTTTAAGCTCAAAGAGGGAGGGTTTAGATTGGATGTCAAGGGGAAGTTCTTCACAGAGAGAGAGACGAGGTGCTGGGACAGGCTGTCCAGAGAGGTCATGGATGCTCCATCCCTGGAGATGTTCAAGACCAGGCTGGATGTGGCCCTGGGCAGCCTGATCTAGTACCAGATCCAGAGGTTGGTGGCCCTGCCTGTGTCAGGCAGGTTGGAACTTGATGATCCTTGAAGCCCTTCCAGTACAAGCCATTCTATGATTCTGTGATCTTTGGTCAAAGTATTTACAAAAGAATTTTTGAAATGAGTCCCATTATCTGACTCAGTTCTTTCTGGAGCACTATGTCATCACAGGACTTGTTTCTTGAGACCTGGTATGGTGTTTTCGACAGTAGCATGGGATACAGGATATGTTTCAAGCCCCCATCATGGTAAGTGCATAACACATACCATCACAGGTTCGTGGCAGGGTGATATAATCAACACGCCATGCCACTCCATATTTATGCTTTTACCATCACCTTTCCTCACAGAAAGGTTTCACCCTCTTGGCTTGCTTAATTGTGGTGCATATCCATGTAGTCATGCATAACCTGTGCAATAACATCCTTATTTAAGTCCACCACTTGGTCTCTAGCCCACTGATATGTTGTATCTCTTCCTTCTTGAACCGAGGTTTCATGAGCCCAACTAGAAATAATTCACCCGTTGCCACTCCAAATCTATTTGAGCCCCTTCAATTTTGGCAGCTTGATCTACCTGTTGGTTATTTCTTCTTCAGTAGCCAGAAGTTGGTTCTTCTTCAGTGGCTTCTTGGTCACTTGAGCATCTGTATATGATGCACCTTTACAACCCTATTCTCTGTTCAGGTAGCAAAGTCTTTCCATATTTGAGCAACCTATGGCTTACCTAGGCAACCTAAGGCTTACCCTTTCTTTGCCAGTTGTTTCATTCTCACTGCTGTTACCATCCCCATACAACATTTGCTACCATCCATGAGTCAGTATAAAAATAAGGCGTTGGCCACCTCTCCTGTTCAGCAATATCTAAGGCCAGGTGGACAGCCTTTACCTCTGCAAATTGTCTTGATTCTCCTTTTCTTTTGGTGGCCTCTTCAATTTGTCATGTAGGGCTCCACACAGCAGCTTTCCATCTGCCAGGTTTCCCCACAGTATGACATGATCCAACTGTGAACAGAGCATATTTCTTTTCATTTTCTGGTAATTCGTTATATGGTGGGGCCTCTTTAGCACATATTACCTCTTCTCCTGATGATGTTCCAAACTTTTTACCTTCAGGCCAATCCATGATCACTTCTAAGATCCTTGGATGACCAAGATTCCTTATCCAAGCTTGTTGTGTAATCAACGCAATCCACTTACTCCTAGTGGCAACTGTAACACAATGGGTGGAGAGAACTTTTCCTTTAAACATCCAGTTTAGCACTGCCAGTCAGGGTGCTAAAAAGAGTTGTGTTTCAGTACTAGTTACTTCGGAAGCAGCTTGAACCCCCTCATATGTGGCTAATATCTCCTTTCCAGTTGAAGTATAGCTCTTTTTGGAGTCCCTTTAAACTCAACTCCAGAATCCAAGTGGTTGGCCTCAGGTCTGTCCTGAGGCTCTTTACCTCCAAGTGGGGCCTCTTTCTCCAGCGGCAATGTAGAAGGTTTTTGTATCATATACCATATGTATTGGCTCCAGGGCGACGGCACAGGCTGTGTCCTTTTATTTTGCTCAAAAGCCTACTGCTGCTCAAGGACCCATGTAAAATTATTATTCTTCTGCATCACCTGATGAAGGTTGCTTACAATGAGGCTACAATTTTGGAACATGCATTCTTCAAAAACCCACTACACACC